CCCAGCTCTGCAGTGTGGATAAATGCAACCTTTTATGGAATATGAAAAAATGGCTTACCCCATGCATATTTTTGGATTATGTTGGACTTTTATACAACAACAAACAATAATGTTGTCTCCTCCTGCAAAGCCAACGTGTGTACTGCTAATGAAAGTATCCTTGTGTACAGTCACGTACTAACAGACAAACACTGGATCCGAGTGGACGTCCAATTCTTAAAAAAAATAAATAGATGAAGGCCTTATTATCTGAGATGATGCCTGACATTTGACCCTCTTGTTGTCATCCTCTACCCGTAGAGCATCAGGCCAGATCATAGAAAGCATCACCCAAACCTGATGTGAGCAGTCTGAAATGACCCTGTGTCATCTTCAACCCTCTCTCTCCAAAATACTCTGTCAGTGCATCTCGCTCCTTCCATCTCCCTGTCACGCTTTATCTATTTATCTGTCATTGCCTTCACCTTTCTCTTGACCTTAGCCTTGAGGCCTCTGTGTCTTAACTAACTTCATCCTCTAACGTTTGTCTGTTGCATCCACCCCCGTCTTCCATCTTTCAAACACTTTTCAGTGTGTTGTTTGGACAGCTGAGGGGAGCAGGGAGCGTGTATCAGCACCACAGAGAGGTGTGGATTGTCTCAGTTCTTTACATCTCCTCGCTAGACTTCACTCCAATGACCTATAGGTTATGGACAGACTGAGACAGGGGACGGATGTGTAGCACAAAGATGCAGCAAGAGGAAAATTTTATTTTTTGTCCTGAGGCATTTTTCTCTTCTGCATCTGTTCATACCCAGCAAGCATTTGACAGACAGTTTTTCAGCACGAGAGGTTCAATGTCGAATCAAATGACTACAAAATTCTCACAAGATGAGTTCATGGTGGGGTAAAAAATTCATGTTTGAACACAGACTTTGAACTGAGAAGTGGGTTGTGGAGAAAATAAGACATTCGAGGACACCACCTTGGGCTAACAATAAATTGAGAAAATAATGAACAGATTAATTGATAATGAAAATAATCGTTAGTTGCAGCCTTAATATATAGTATATATTTTACTGGAGAACTGTAGTTATTAGCAAACACTGCTTAAATTGTTGTATGAGTAATGTATTTGCTGGGGACTATTCTCAGCTGCAGATTTGGTGCAGTAGCGAGTATTTACAGCAACATGACAGGGTATGTGGAATCGAATACAGTGTTCGTGCTCATTGTGGTGGAGTAGCACATCACCCAGTGCAGCAGTGTGGCTCATTTATGTTTTTTTCATGCATTTTTGACAACAATGGAGTTGAATAACATATGAGGCTTTGGCTTCACAGGCAATACTTGTTAGTAGCTACAGAGTTGCAATTACACCGCTAGATGCCACTAAATCCTACACACTGGTCCTTTAATTGTTACAAAGTTTGCTGGGCTTCTTCCTGTTACTTTTATGAATTGTATTTTATGAATGTGTTTTGATGAATCCATCAACTGTCTTTTTCTCTCTCACTCACTGTCACAATATAATATTGTTCATAGTTTAGATGCTCTCATTGTGTACACTTTTGTGGTGTCTCTGCCCTAACCAGATGCTGTGAAAGAGTTTCATCATATGTTGCACTCATGAGAAAATGTAGTAGACTATAAGTATACATGAAACTCACAAAGTATACTAAGTATACTACGTTTACTTAAGAGTGGCATCTTCAGAGTCTACATTAACAGGAACTGAGGAAGAGGACTTGAAAATGGTCTAAATTGTGTTTTTGCCTGTGTTGAGAATATGTCTTGGATGTGGTTGGAAATGCCTGGAATTTAAAGTATAGCCAAATACCCTGAATGCATTGTTATGCTTTCAACCTGCAGCCGGGGCCCTCAATTATTTAGAGTCTTTCTATCTGTCCATCAGCAAATACCCAGACTTTGAGCTGAGCAACACAGGGGCTCTGTTATGTGTAGAACTTGTTGTAAAACAGGAAGATCTGCATGCAATCATAATCCTGAGACTTCCAGGTCTGTTTCTCAGTTTGAAAAATGTATCCAGGGTTCCATTCACTATTTATTATACACTGACAGATGGTGTATACATTTCAATGCCTTTCCGCTGTACCTTAGAGACAGCCCGTCCTTTCTTTCCACAAAATATTTTGATGTGATCCGAATCTTTCTGCTGGTTGTATTTGTTGCGGTGTAGCCAGTCTGCAAAATCATTGAAACAATGTTATCAGTTTGAGGAAATATGTTTATGGTTATATCTCTAGTTGGTTTAGTTATATCTCAACCGATGGTTGGCAATGGCCGTAAATCATGAGATGCAGTATTGTCCAACATAGACATAATTTCTAGGATATTGGGTTGCTGTAACAGGTACATCTGGGCTTCACCACTCTACTCTGCATGCGCAACACACTGGGTGCATAAGTCAGGTTCCAGCTGCAGCAGCTTTTAAATAGTCAAACACACTGGAATGATTCTTACAGGAGTGCATTGCAGACAACTGAAACATTGAGTGGCAAAGTGCTGATCGCCTTTGCCTCCCACCTTTAAAAAAAAATAAAAAATTAAGGGATGGTTATGGATGACCACATTTCTCTCACTGATGCCCACTTGAGCAGAAGAAATTGCTGACGCATACTGTACAAAGTTACAAGAATGTGACAGGCCCTAATAGGAGTTGGTGGTAAAAGAGCAGTTCAATGGGTTTTTAGAATCAGAATAAGAAATACTTCCTCCTGGGGGGAAATTTGTTTAGCTAGTTACTCAAGGTGTTCACAAGACATTAAAGAAATAGAAATAATAAGAACATTAAAATAGCTATTATATTATAATATCATCTAACAATATATATATAGAAAATATATTTTAAAAAAAGAAAGATATAACAGGAGTCTGAAGTATGTACATTGTACAATATATAGAAGACAGAAATATATGAATGCTATAGTATATGACAGATGTTTATTGAATAATTAATAAATAGTAATAATAGCTGAATCCTTTAAAAACTGCAGTATTGGTGACAGATTAAAGGCTGCTAGTCTCAGCACCCTTGCTGATACATCCAACCACAGCACAGTCATCAGAAAACTTCTGAAGGTGGCAGGACTTTGTGTGGTCGCTGAAGTCCGTGGTATAAAGGGTGAAGAGGAAGAGAGAAAGTACAGTTCCCTGTGGGGCCCCGGTGTTGCTGACTACTCTGTCCGACACAGTGTTGCAGATGCACAGACTGTGATCTGCCAGTCAGGTATTGTCACAATCCAGGACACAAGGGGAGCATCCACCTCCATCACTGTCAGCTTCTCACCCAGCAGAGCTGGCCAGATGGTGCTGAAAGCACTGGAGATTCAAAAAATATCACCCAGGAAAATGATGGTGTCCTCAACTCCCAGTCAGGGCTGGTAGGCGAACTGGAGAGGGTCCAGACAAGATTTGACCATGGGCCGCAGCTGTTCTAGAACAAGTTTCTACAGGGTCTCCACCATTGCTCGAAGCCAAAGTATTTTTCAAGGTGGGCTGAGCACGCATGCTCTAAAATGTATTTACTATTGATCACAATTTTATGTTCAGACAGTCCCATACCATCAGTGGCTGACCAAGACAAGGAATCACTAATAGCATTTTTATATGACAGTGTTATCTAAGACTGGTGCACTGGTTGTGGTAGTCTCATTCTCAGTTTTTGCCTATTTTTTGTGTGTTAAAATGTCCATTCTCGACTAGGGAGCAAATGCCTCAGGGATCTTTGCTGGGATTCATCTATGTGGACAACAGAATAAGAAGCAAGCAGGTCAAGGTATAAAGTGTATTGCCTAAAAAAGCATCTTTTACTCCAAACTCTTAAATTCAGAACTTGCTTCGCAAAAGACCCATTTGACACAACTGCACTATGAAAATGATTAAGTACATAATGGAAACCTTGGGTGGTTAGCTCACCCAAGAGAAAATAGAAAAACCCAATTGATTGAAATTGGCTGTCCCTGATCCTCTGTTTGCTTTTCTCTCACCCCCAGCTTGCCAGTTTTTATAAGCAATTAGCTAAATCACTTATCCAACTGAAAATGCAGTAATGGTTCACGCTTGTGACTGAGAATGTAATTAGATGAATATTTAATATACTTTTAAAACTTTACAAATAATGTGTCCCTTGGGGTATTGTTCCACATGAAACGGTAAGCAACACAATAACCCCAATGACAAAGTAGTATTATGGGTACAAAGGAGGGCAGGGAGATAAAAGAGGGGTCTGATTAGTCATAATTATTTGTAATTTGCCTAAAGGTTAAATTATCCTCCCATTGGTAGAAGCAGCAACTTGAATCCAATGTATGTTTGGCCCATTGACAGTATATATAATGGACAGAGCTTTCGGATCTATGAAGTTAAGCAGACGCAGAAGTGTCTTAATTTAGTTTATTTAGTAATATAGTCTTGCATTTCATGTAAAGGCCAGCAAAAGGCAGATTCATTGGCTGCAATAAAACATTTATACCATACAGTCTAATGGAGAAATGACCCGACTTCTCACTTAATTTATTAGCTTAGTAAATGGTTTCTTAATGAGTTTATGGTCCCAATCACTAGTTTTAATGACAATTTTGTTAATTATTGTCAAATATGAATCAAGATTCTGTTACGGCTGTTATACGAGAGTGTGTGTGACCAGGCAAGCTGCCCTTGTTCCCTTCTACGGACGAGTGCAGCTCAACTCGCAGTACAACACACTCGCTGGCTCCAACAAACAGCCATGGCAATGACAATAATGCCAAACTTGAGGCTTCAAAACAGTGTTTACAAACCAATGGATGACGTCACGGAGGCTCACACTTGGTTTGGGCAAAATCAGGTGATCTGTTATGGATGTAATATTTGTATTCATTGTATTCAGACAAGGTCTAGAAACATATTACACTACTACTCTTCTTAGCAAGTCTCAATTTTATCTCCTGTGATCTTTTGTGTAATTTTGCAGTGTAGTCCATTTCTGATCACGTGTTTGTGTTGTATGCTTGCCCCAGTTTTACAGATGTTTCCAAGCCCTTCTGTGTTGTGAGGCTCCCCGACGAGGCTCCAGCTTAAAAAGCTCCTCCAAGGTCGCCACCAAGGCCATGAGAGGTGTAGCAGTCACCGGTCCCCGCCGAACCAATGACTTCCTATTTATGGTAGCTTACCTGGGTCAACCGGCCACCACGATGCCCCGACTGGGACCCTCCTTTGAAGTCACCAATGATGTCACCAAAGCCCCCTCTTCAGTGGCCCACTTTGATGGCTGATGATTGGCTATAACCACGAAAAGTCCCAAGGTCCCCAACCAGGAACTCATTAATAATGAGAGAGGTGGTTTTACTGAGGCTTGGAGAGCAGCAGCCTGCAGTCCACATGGAGATGGTGGACCAATAACAAAGGCAAATCTTGGACTGCCTCTGGACAATATGAGTAGAAATCAGAGGTGGTAAACCTGCAAAAGCTGGGAGTCTGTGTTTCTCTGCAGAGAAAGTATATGTCCGTCTTGCTAGGCATGAGGCATTTGAAGACTGGTATGGTAAGAAAAGAGGAACTGTAGGGATCATTTATTTTGTGCAATATCTAATGTTTGGTATTCACTCATAAAATGTCATAACAGAAATGTGTTCAGAGTGCAGGAAGAGGGTTAAGATGCATTTTTGTATTGCTTCCTTACTGACTGTATTAAGTGAGGAAGAAGAACAGGCGTTTATTACGCCAGCATGGTATCATTCTCTTTAGCTTTTATTCCCTGCCAGAAATGTTCATGTAAATTATTACTCGTCAATTTGAAATGCGTAAGTGGTTTATTAATGAAGTGGTTGAATAAATGGTTTAATAAGTGATTTGTTAGACTTGTAGCACTGCTAGCATGCTAGCGTCATTAACGTTTTTTTCTGGAGTAGTGATTTTAAGGTCAAGGAAATAGGTGCATGTTGGAGAATTATTAGATAGTTCCTTTAATAACGACATGTGCATGTACTGTGCTGCAGTGTAATATGCAAATGAGGTTGGAGAAACATAGTATCTGGTAATGTTAAGGGGATAGAACTGACACAGATACTTGATATTGTCAAAATCCTGAAAATGAATCCCTCTGATTTTATCGTGTTTTCTAACTTGGCATTTCCACATGTACTTACAGCTATGAAACATGTTTCTTTTTTGTTTATTGTACCCAAAGTGCAGGGTCCTATGTGTTGAAAAAGGATTTGAAGGCACAGGCCATTTAATGTAAAAGAGCTCTTCAAATATGCTAAACAACTCATAGTCAGCAGTGCATGTGGACAGGCATCAGCCTAGTTTCCACAATATTCAAACTAATTTCTTCCACTAAGGTCAGTCTACTGTGTCCGTCTACTAACAGCCTTTGAATAAATGGCATCATCAGAGAAAATCCTAACAGCAAACATAACTCTTTCCAAGTGTTTGCCAGAACAAAAGGACAAAGGACTTTACTATACAATACATATCTTTTAGATGGAATAAGTTTGTTCTGTACAAATTGTTTGCCACGTGCTTGTCCGCATCTTGTTCAATTTTTTGATAACAGATTTGACACTTTCAGTCTTGCAATACAAAGATAACTGCAGTTTCCGAAAGCAGTGCATCAATGCTGTGTTGTCAGTAAATGTCTAAGCTATAAGTGGTGTGGTACTTTTCATTACTGCATACAATTACAGTATGTGTGCAGTTTTTTTGTAATTCACTTTCAGCACACTAACTGTTTCCTATGTGCTGTCAAGATCTTGTCTACATTAATGTACATAAGTTGATACCAAAGCTACAGAAACTTGTATATTTTTTGAAGGGTGCTGTTCAATAAAGTTTTTCATATTTAAAATCAATGGAGTGGATTTTTTGCCCCTGTTTTGTACCCGTTTAAAAAGTGGGGTGGTCGAAATTAAAACTTTAAGTAATATGCAGTATATTGATAATGAATGGTAGAGATATGTAATGTGAAAAGTGACATAGTCATATGTAATTGACTATTTTCTAAGCTATCATTGGTCAATGATTGTTTTGAAGAGAGGTTTAGCAACTGTTCATGGGGTTGTAGTAACAGCGATGCTCCATATGTAAAGAGTTTCAGTCTACCCAAAACCAATAGACCAACAAGGAAAAGTTGTTCTTGTCGTCTGCTCCACAATACAATACAACAACAATGATGTTATTTCTTTACTCCTGTGTCTCCTACATGGACCATCTATTGGTTTGGATACTGTCTTTTTGTCCCGGACATGCAGCTTCAGTCTTTTTGCATATATGTAGCCATCAAGCGCATATTGAAGTACCCTTTTCAGGTTTTAAAACAAGTCAGTTAAAACTTAAAGAGGTCCAACTGAAAAGGGGGTCTAAAAACAATTCACAAAGCTAATGTTAGCTTAATTACTACAGGTGATAATGTCTGGTACTGACAGTATTGTTATTATTATAATACATTTTAAATTATTTTCATTAACCAAGCCCAGGTGGCCAGTGTCCACAAGAAGTTACTATTTTGTTTCCACAAAATATTCCGTGTAGGTGGCCCCCCCTGTTGCCTGTGAATGGAAGCAGCCATTTTGGGGCAAGAATATGACACACCTAAGGACATACTGTGGTGTGTGCCACCAGTTTCCTCAACAACTCTACTTGTCTTTATATAAGTTTACACTTGGGCCAACAAAAATGTACTTTGGCCACCAAATTTAGTGGCTTGGTGGTCCGTGGGGCCAGTGCTTAAAAATTAGCGTCTATCCCCGCTATTGTGCCAAAGAATTTTGAGTAGTAAATCTGCCACCATTATAATTGTAAACTACAAGAAATTACATTTAAGCAGAGCAGGTGTTAAAGGACCACTGTGTAGGATTTAGTGGCATGTCCATTCTGGAAAACTACTGTAGAAACATGGCGGTTCAACATGGTGGCCTACAAGGAAAGCAACCTGCTCCCTCTATAGATAAAAGCGGCTCAGTCTAAGGTAAGGAAAATAAAGCGATTCTAATTTTCAGGTACAAAATATTTTTATTCCATTTCTGCCAATAGTACGGTGGCCCAGAGGTGTCAGGCCGAATACAAAAGCCACAACACGAATACAAAAGCCACAACACGAATACAAAAGCCACAACACGAATACAAAAGTCACAACGGAAGTGAACTACAAC